AAATCATTAGTCATTAGGGAAATGCAAATTACAGCCACAGTGAACACCAGGAAACACCTCACAGGACGACCAGGGAACAGAACAAGTGAGAGTCCCATATACTGCAGGCGGTGGGGTAGACGGCATCATTCTCCAGAGAGCAGCCAAGCATGGCTTTGTGTAAGACCCAGGAGTTCCAAGCCCACACATTTACCCTAGACTAAAAAAACCTGGACACACACACACACACACACACACACACACACACACACACACACGGAGGCTTCATTAACACGCCTTACCCATAACCACCTAGACTGGAAACAACCTAAATGTCTTTCCAAGGGAAACGGAATAAGAAATTTTGCATACATCACACAGTGGAGTACCACTCAGCAATAAAAAGCAGTGACCTCTGAACACCGGCCACTCTCTACCCTGAGGGACAGAAGTTAATCACAAAAGGTTACACGTTACACGCCAGGCTCAAATGGCTATTTACCCCCTCCCCATTCATATATATAAACCCTAACCTAAGGTGATGGTGTTGGGAGGTGAACGCCTCTGGGAGGTGATTATGTCAGTGGGCAGCATTGTCATGCAAAGGATTAATGAAAGAGACCCAACAGAGAGAGAGACAGAGAGAGAAGGAGAAAGAGAGAGAAAGAGAAAGAGCTCTCACCCTTCTGTCATGGGAAGTTAGGGTTATAAGTCACTTAGTCTATCATATTTTGGTAGCAGCACCAATAGGCTAAGACCCTCCATAATCCCACTCAAATGACATTCTTGGAAAAGCAAATCTTTAGAAATACAAAACAAACCAATGGTAACCAGGGGTCATGGGTAGGTAAGGATTTAACTACAAAGAAAAACATTAATGTGATGAAATTGTTCTATGGTCATTACATGAATCTATGCATGTGTTAAATGCATAGGACAGGGGCCAGGGATATGGCTTGGTGGCACAGTGCCCGCCTGGCAAGCATGAGATGCTGAATTAGATTCCCAGTACCAACAAAACAAACCAAAACACTCATAGAACTATATACTAAAAAGTCAACTTTGTTGCACATTAAAAAAAAAACAACAACATTATTTTCCAGTACAGACTTTGAACATGCCAGGCAAGTGCTCTGTCACTGAGCTACATCCTCAGATAAAACAACGCTAGCGGAGGAAAATGTACCAAGTATGCAGAGAATAAAGCTTACAGGACTGCCTGCCATGCAATTCATTCGTCAGCCTCCCAGTAGTTGGTAGGAGACTGATATAAATGAGTAAAAGCTATGAATATTTTCTTAACATTAATAGCTTTCCCTAGAAATATAGATGCTAAATGCTCTTCAAGAATAGACATTAGGGCCTGAGTGTCTAACTGCTTACAATTATACCAGTTTTATATCCTCATGAAATCCATGTTCTCACACTCACCTGACTTACATGAAAGAGGAGAAAGATGTGTGTTGATTAGCACCTGACTTGAAGCAAATTCAAAAGGTCCAATACACATTACACCCATCTGTAAAAGCCGCACAACATCCCTAAAATAGGTAGGAATTGCTGGGGGAGGGCATGTCCACCCACACTGTGTCTCATTCCCTCTTCTTTACTGGCCTTGCCTGAAGACGGGAGTTACTAATTTTTCTGTTCAGTATCTGAAGTCTTTTAGTTGAAAACAAGTCACCGAGATGCCCTGGGGTTCGGCCAGCGACTACCCTGAGGTTCTCTTCTATCCACTGTCAACTTTAACACCATTGCTCAGTGGGCTTGCTTCCTTCTTCCACTTGGACTTGGTCTATAAATAGTTCAGAATGCCCTGATGTGCCCCCCACTCACATACACACACACACTTACATACATAGCATGCACAAAGGACATGCATCTCTTCTCCTCACTGCTTACCCTCTACATGGAAGCTTCTCCCTGACCACAGACTATATAATCTGGGTCAGTTTAGAGTTGTGAGTGGAGACCAAAGCACTTGTCCACACTGGCTCTGTCACCTTCCTGCCTTTGGTGCTGGTCCTGTTGATCTCCTCCCATTTCACTAGGAAGCTGCTCTGTCCCTCTGGGGCCATGGCAGGAGAGGGATAAGGAAGCTTAAGGAAAGGAAGCCAGGGGCTTCCCTTTAATCTCTGGTCTATGCCATGTGCCCCAACATGGCTTTACCTCTATTTAGGGACAGTCCTCCTAGAGAATTCCACAGGCTTCACTCTTCCTTTAACGTATCAATTCCACACAACTCCTATAGGGGCCAGCAGTAAATGACAGGTCCACCTATCTAAATCCGTGAAAAATTAAGTCATGACCTGTTCCTTGAAAGAGTTTAAACATTGGTTTGGATAAAGTTAAAATCCTTCTAAATTAATGTCGGATAAAGAGAGGAATGCACAGAGGTGAGCTGCAGGCCCTACCCAGAAAACCACCCAGAGATCCGCCCCAACTTCAGCGGAATTCCACAGAGACCATAGAGGACGGCAGCAAGAGAATGCCATTATATTCGACAGTGTGTGATGAAAGAGAATTCCAGCGAGTGTTATGGGAAGCCCCAGCCCAATTCCCCCTCAGCGCCTTGTGTTTCTGGACTGCAACATGCATGAGTCTCTATCACTGTCCACCCTTACCTGAAGGTGAGCAAAGGATGATTGAGAGGCAAGCCAGTTAGCTGAGGCAGGGCCAGAACTACAGCTCAGGCTTCTGAGTTGCTTTTGTTACAAAAGCTACAATGTCATTGGAAGGGAACACTGGGTTGTGGTGCCTACTGACCCAACTCTATGCAGGGTCCTTTGCTACCATTGTTATGTGAAGCCCTTTGTTAGTTTTGGAGCGCTCTTGCTCTTAGCACGTAGTTTGCTCCTTCCCTTCTTGAGTGTGTCTTTAGCTTACAGGAAAAGTTCTTTCTCTTAATTGATACAAAACATCTGGATTGTCAGAATACAGAGACCTACAAGAGCCATGTGCTAAAAATGGTAGTGCAATGCTAAAAATCTAGCAGAGTTCAAAAAACAAATTCTTCATCCTAATTTCTTTCCGAATAATAGCACAGTATTATTGGAAAACATTCAAGCAATACTAGGGAGGTAAGTTAACATGGTATTCCTTTTCTGATTGCACCCACAATGCTTAGCATTTTTTCAAGAAAACCTCAAATTGAAGAAACATTTTTAAAAACTTTCCCCTCTTTTGCCCCCTTTCCCATTCCAATCAGCTCGGCCAGCTTCCGGTGATGAATCCTGTTTACTCTCCCACACCGACACGAGCCCTAGTACCAAAGTAGGACGGGAAACAGAAAAAGCGACAGCCCGGTGCACATCGCTGTTTTAAAACACATGAGCCTGGCGGGCGTGTGGTGCTCGCCTGTAAGCCCAGCGTTCAGGAGGCTGAGGCAGCAGGATTCTTGTGAGCGCAAGGCCAGCCCAAACTGTATAGCGAGACCTGTCTCAAAGAGCCAAAACAAAGCCACAACAGAAGAAATACGTCAGCCCCGTCCGAAAACTCACTGCCATTCCCTCCACCAAAGATCACACTTAGGAAATGCCAGGTACCAGGGCCCTGTCACCCACCCTCTGGCTACTCTGACTTCCAACCAAGAAGCAGCGACCCCTAAATTAAGTGCAGCTGGTGGGGGACATTTTAGACAGAAGCCGAGGTCAGACAACTCCAGCCCATCCCAGGAAGGCTGTCTGGAGTCGCCTGTTGGGGGACAGGGGTAGAAACAGGGTCTGTGGTTCTCATCTCGCAGGGTCACGGGCGATCAATGAACGCGTTAAGTGCTTTACAAATGCACGGAAGAGCTGGGGTCGGGGTTGTGTGCGGGCTCGGTTTCCCTCCCTGGCTCCTGAGTCCGGGTGGCTGGGTCCTTCCGTGCCTGCAGCGCCCTCTTGCCGCCCCCGAGTTATCCGGCCCCGGCAGGAGGACTCCGCACTTTTCCCGCAGCCCCTCTAAATGTCACTACCTGTGGTAAACCTCGCAGCAGACAGAAACAATCCTCTCCGCTCAGGCAGCAGCTGCAGGAGAGGGGGTAGAGGGCCGACTTCCTCTTCTCCGGTTTCGCTAATTGAATTTTTTGAAACCAGATTCAATTCTTTCCTTTCAAAAAAAAAAAAAGTGCATTGCACTCTCCTACTCGGCTGTTTGTGACCGCGACCAGGGCAAGGCAATCTTTCAAGTCAAAGACACACCAAAGCCTGAGCGCTACCCCCTCGCGGCTCTGCAACGCCTGTGTTCCACAGCAGACTTTCATCGGGAGACAGACAGACAGACAAACAGAGGGACTGAGAGACAGACAGAGACAGAGAAACTTTGTGTCGCCCGGACACAGCCCCCGTTAAAGGACCACGCCTCCCGGCGCTCCTGACTCAGCCTCCGCGCGGACACACACCCAAGGGCGCGCACCCGGACGCGCACGCACGCTCCCGCCGCCCAGCGGGTCAACCGCAGGCGAATCTGACTCTTTGCCAACTTGCAATCACGCACAGCTGCAAAGGGACCCAGGACCTTCGGCGCCGGTTCCAGAAACGACACCGCAAGCGCCAGCGGCGCCGCAGTCGCAGCCTTTGCCGCGGCCTCGGCCGGGAGTTTCGGATCCGACTGCGAACGCCCGGTCTCTCCTCCGCCCTTCGCCCCGGTCCCCCGGCCTCGCCCGCTTCGCCTCCTCGTCCTCGGGACGCACAGGGTCACTTAGCCGCTTCTGCAGAGGGGGAAGCAGAAGGAAAGAGGGTCCCGCGGAGCGGCCGGGGCGCGCTCCCCTGCGCCGCCTGCCTCGGTGCCCCGCTCCGGGCGAGGGTCCCGGCGCCCCAAGTCCCTGGGCTCCGGCGGGGCGCGGAAGAGCCGGCCGGGACCGGGCGGAGAGGGGCTGAGGCTGTCGGAGGACAGATGGGGCGGGACGGGGAGAGGGGCGACGGCGACGCGCCGGGGCTGCAACTCCGGCGCGCGCAGACGGTCCGAGCGGAGGCCTCTCCCCGCCGCCCCTGTGTCCCCGCTTCCCGGGGCACCCGCTGGGCAGCGCGGCGCGCGGCTACCTGGAACGAGCACCATGGCGCCTTCCACCGCCGCGCCCGGGCCGGGCAGCACCTCGGACAGCTCCCCGCGCGGTCCCGGCCGCGGCCCTGCGCCGCGCGCTGCTCCCCGCGCCTCCTCGGCCCGCGCGGAGGAGGGAGGAGGCGGCCGGGCCGCGCGTGCCTCCCTCGGAAGGGGACGGGGACGAGCGGGGAGCCGCCCGGCTGCCCGGCGGGGGACGGCTAATTACTTCTCGTTACCTGCTGTCCCTCGCTCCCGCGGATGCTGGACTGACATTTAAGATGAGTTTGCCTTTCTCTTTTTTCAACTCCAAGAGCTTTTACTCTAGAGTTCTGGTGTCAGCGTGGCTCCGAGGCGGGGAGGGGCTGCCGAGTCACTGGGTCCCTGGGGTCCTCCGCTCCTCTAGCCCAAGTCCAGTGCTACGCAGGCGTCACAGTGACGGTGCAAGGCGTGAGGCCCGCGGCCCCGGCAGGCCCTGAGCCCAGGTGGCAGATTGGCTTGGAGGTCATCATGTCATAGCTGTGGAGAAGCAGGGTCAGCTGGGGGCAGAGGAGTCCTTCACCATCAGAGTCGCGCAACCTGGAGTGGGATGAACCGATGGGGTGCCCTTCAAATGTCAGGTCGCCCCAGAAAACCCACCAGGAAAAAAGCACTTGAGTGCTTTACCTTCCCTCCCGCAACTGGAAACTTCCCCCGACACCCAGGAATGCCCTGAAGCTGCTGGACGCCCCACCCATCTCAGGCTCGTAAGGGATTGCTCCCTTGAAGTCCCTCTTCTCTGACCGTGTGCACAAAGCACCTCAGATGTCACCGGCCTTGCGGCTGGAGTTACAACTCGAGAGCCAGAGACATGCAGCATCCTACAGCCCACGGAGATTGATGCAAGGTGCAATGCTAGGATTAAGGGTGTGTCAGGATTAAGGTGTCAACTGCTGTGGGTGTTTGTGCAGCTGAGCAGGGTTTTCCAAGAACAAAGTGGACGGGGTCATCTCCAGCATTCTATGGAATTTCTTCACTTGCACCTCTCCCTGGAAAATATAGCAACTCTGAAAAGACAACATTTCTTAATAATTTGAATGGAGGCCATAAGTTCTACCCTTTTCTGGCAAATATAAAGCATTCAGACAGCCTTGTTGGCACTGGTTTTATTCAAAGCCATCTGATAGATTGAAAATGCAAATAGTTTTACAACCCTGGAACTACAGTTTGTACGAAGGCCTGCAGGCAGCTCAGTGTAACACAAACAGTACTTAGCTTAGCACCTGGCACAGGCACAGGCCTGGGCAGACGGGTCCTGTCTCGGCAGCAGCAGGGTGCCAGTTGGCTGGTGGGCACGGGAAAGCATTGCAGGAAAGGACCACGTCCTCTCATGTTCCAAATTCTACCAAAGCCAGGGACCAAGGTTGCTCTGCACCTTCTTTGCTTTATCGCATGGGAAGCATGAGCACCACTGGCTGAATGGCCCTCTTATGGCTGTGCCTAGATGTCCCCCCAAGACCTCAGACAGTCCAAGGGAGAGCTTTTTCAGAGGTGGCTGAACCTAGTGTGCAGTAATGGGATTGATTTATGGTGCAATGCTAGGATTAAGGGTGTGTGATTACTAAATCAGTTCATTGATTGATTTGCCCCAATCCCAGCAGCCTAGATACAATATAAAAGAGGAGAAAGATGCTGTTAAGGTCCTTTGTGGCTTTGCTACCTTCTGCCCACTGTGAGTGTTTCTCTCCTGTGAGGCCTATCTGCCACACCACCCTGCCTTGGAGCCAGCCGATGATGAACTGAATCCTCTACAACCATGAGCTAAATAAACATTTTCCCCTTTAACTTTGGATGTTAGTATTTTGTGCAGTGACAAGAAAAGTATCTTGGACAGGTCTCTGTCTTTTAATACATTTAAAAGGGTTCTCTTTTACAACTCTTATTTTTAAATGGGATTTATTCTCCTAATGCATGAGCAGCTGCTCAGGAAAAAGTTTCGTAGTAGAGAAACAGAAAAAAACAACTCAGAAATCAATCACACCCAGAGGCGGGTGCAACTCTGTGCCAATTCCTACACGTGTGACGTGGGATAAGTAATTCAACCTATCCTGTCTCATCTGCAATATGAAAACTAAGGTGCTTTGAAGATTTTGCAGAAGGATTAGCTTTGATATAGATTAATGGATCAATGAAGGGGCAGAACAGAGTCAAACTCTTTCCAGGAACCCACTGCCACCTTGGGAATAGGTGACACCCTGGGAAAAGGCAAAATACAGATCACATCTCAGTAGACTAAGGTAGGCGGTTCTGCATTTCTAACCAACTACCCCATGCAGGTGTGGCTGGGCCTGTGCGAGGCCCTGAATGGTGAGGTAACAGGTGCCCGTGCATCTTAAAAAGGAAGTGCACAGACAGGCCAGCCTCACAGCTATTCTTGTGAAATTCTGAACAAAGCAACCTGGTGGATTCTCATAGATGGCCAAGCCAGAGAGTGCCAAGATGGTAGCAGAAACAAAGGATGCTTAGAAATGGCCCCAGAGTGCTTCTGGCTATTTACCAACCTACGGTGACAGCAAGAGGTGGTGCAATCTCAGAGAAGCCAATGCAACAGGTCAAGGGCCCAGGGAAATGCTCTCAGGCCTATCCTTAGCTCCTCTGTCCTTCCTCCTGCATCCTGTCATCTGTGCTACCCAATGGCACTGGTACCTCACCAGAGGATAGTCCACTCCCCATCCACTATGTATAATACATATTATATAATGCACCTAGTACATATATAATGAATTATAATCTAACATATGATTTATAGTAGACAGAATGCATAGGTTATTCCATAGATATTTGCAGTATAAAAACATTATTACATAATATACCTTGTATGGTTAATATATTATGCATAATATGTATATTACATAAAATGTTTTATATATTGTATATTATATTGAACACACTATATTATTACATGTTATTTTCCTATTATATATAGTGATGCATATAATAAGATTATGCATAATAGATAATATATTGCAAATAAATGCATATATAACATACTGTTTACAATCTACATAATATATTACATATTGTATACAATATTTATATGTAACATTTATTTTATAATTATATCATATATCAATTATACCACAAAATTATATTTTCATATTTTTTACTTTACATATATATTTTTTGTGGGTGCTAGGAATGAATCCAGGGCCTCGCACATTAGGTAAGCACTATACCACTATACCATGAGATTGACACCCCCAAGTGTATATATATTTTTAGTTCAAGCAATTAATTTTATTCTCAATAAAACCAAATATGTTTTACAGGTCATTTTCCATATTTCATCAGTAAATTTTACACTCAGTAATAATACCTCCAATATTTACCACTGCTAAAGTCATTCTGCTGGTTTCATTTATATATCCTTATCATTCTACTAGATCTTAGAATCTACATCTGAATTTCAATGGTCAGCTTAACAGCTGACCACATAACAGGAAAATAGAGCTCCTGTGTATTCTAGCAGGACAGAAGCCTCGTCCCTGACAGAATTCCACCACGGCTGAGGCTCCCGTCCCCAGGGCAGCTCCCTGCCTTGTCTGTTCCCAGCACCTCCTCTCAGTGACTCGCTTTCTGCTCACGGAGCCATTGCATTTGCACACAGCCGCCTATCAGGGAGGCAGCCGTCACCACTGTCCACTCCAGGCTGCCTTAGACATGGTCTCGTGCTCGGTAGCAGGAATAACACTAAGATGCAAGATGGCGACCAAGCTGGAAGGGATGACCCAACCGGGGCCTGGGGATGCTGCTTCTGGGTACTCAACGCAGTGCTGAGAAGGGTCCAGGGGAGAGTGCCCCCTCATCAAACCAGCGGTTCCACCTGGAGATTTGGGAGAATTTGTTTTCAGAATGAACATGGGCACATCATGCGGTAGAATGCAAAACTCACACAACATATAAACATTAAATTAGCAGTGCCAAAGAAGTCCACATGGCCAAAAGAGCTTTGGGCTATAACTTGCAAACTTCCTCTCACCTCTATCTGTTTGCTCTTTTGTTCTTTACCCTACTGTCTGTAGAGCTTTAGTGAACAGGAAATTCTGAAACACTCTCCTCCCCTAATTATCTGTAGGGTACCTGGGCTCCAGACCACCGCTGATTCTTTCCCCTCCATACTCATTCCAGATACATTGTTCTTTCAACTACATTTTAGGATAATTTTAGCATCTCTGAGGACAACTGAAATGGGTTGAAAAGAGGCACTTTTATTCTGAAGAACTAAACCATACTTCTTTCCGAAGTGTCTTAGCTTGCAGAGTTTGAATGACTGCAGAAATGAAATATGGGAGGATTCTTCCCCATCTAAAAGCTCCTTGAAGAACACAGAGGCAAAGTAAAGCAGAGCTCAGGAAAGGAGCAAGAGAGTGTAGTGTGGAGAGGCCCAGGCATAGGAAAACTGAGGGAGGAAGAGGAAGAAGATGCTGAACGGTAATATGTTACTTTCCGGGTTTATGTCTGCAAAGGAAGTGAGGGAGAGAGAGACAGACAGAGAGAGAGAGAGAGAGAGAGAGAAGACATCATTGAAAAATAAAACAGAAGATTGGTTGAATAAAGGAAAAGAAGGCATGGACATAATGAGTGCTCCATGCTAAAAAGAATGAAGCAGAGGAAATTTTAAAGTGTTGCAGGCTGGAAGAGCACAGGGAAACATCTCCATCGGTTTGTGTTTTAGGAAGCAGTTGATGAGTCCCGCAGGCCTCTTTAAAAAGGAATATGGCATAGAAACATTTTCTGAAAGAAAAACATCCACAAAATTTTCTGTTGGAAAAAAACACATTAGAAAAGCTTAAATTTTATATTGCTTATAGAAAATGAGTTCTTTCCTGAAAAAATTCAGCTTTGGTTGGAGGCCTACTTTCTCTATCAAAGAGCGATATAGCCACACTGATTTCTGTAGAAAGAGTTCTCCCAGATTGTCGAACAAAATGACTAATTCTATCAGATAATAGAAGATGGAAAGTTGAGAAAAGACAGTATTCTAATTTGCTAGTTTTAAAGGTGCTCCATAAAGCATTCAATTCGCTCAGCACCCAATTCACCTTCAAATTGTGTCTAGACATTTTAGTTCTTTATTCAATACATTCCAGCATGCTAATCTGTTGTGTATAGACCCCACACTAAGTCAATTTCAGGAGAAAATAATTTGGAAAATAATTCAAGAGAAAAAAATGAAAGGAGAAGACAGAGGTAAAAAGAGACAGAAAAGGAGTAAGGAAAAGAAAAGAAGCAAGAAACAGAAGAAAAAAGAGGGAAAGCACATCTAAGGGAGCAAGACAGAAGACAAAAGAAAGGAGAATACTGAAATACTTAGAAAAAGCTCAAAAACAAAAGGAGAGGTCTGGCACAGTGGCACATACCTGTATTCCCTTCTACTTAGGAGACTGAGGCAGGAAGATCACAAGTTCAAGGCCAGGCTAGACCACTAAGTGAGACTCTGTTGAAAGATTTTTAAAAGTTAAAAAGGTCTAAGACTTTAGTTCAATTGTCCTAGTTCAAACACGTGTAATATCAAACAAATAACAAGAGAAAAAATAACTACAATTTTGTATTATATAATATGGTTCAGATCTAAAATTTTCCCCCCAGAAATCTCAGGTCTTAGAGGAGGGACTTTTGGGAGGGTTAGGATCATGGAGGCACTATATGCACCCGTGGGTTAATCCATTAATAAATCCCTAGCTGAATGGGCTATAAG